ATTCTTTGCGTCATAGTATTAACCGAGTCGGCACTAACCATGTACATCTCCCATCTCTACTACTGTGGATCCTAAAGAACTTTCTTCTTTTCGTCTAACAACTTCTTAAATATAATTTAAACTCATTAACTTGCAATTCGATTTGTACTTGTCTCACACTGAAAACAACCTTCCTACCTGTACTCACACATGACTACTTATCTGTGGATTCTGGCTGATTCTCTGATTTCGTCATTTGATCGTCTTGAGACCTTTCTCGTTGACCCTGGCTAATGTTCTACTTGATTGGAATGTTCGCTCATCGGTTTAACCCGTATTAGTAGACTCTTCCATCATACTCGTTGTCCAAACGTCGTTAGTACAACGACCGGATAATCTAAATCGTTCCTTTTGATGCGACATTCTTTGTTCGTATCGTCTTTCAATTGTTATACATATAACAAAAAAAAATGTGCCAGCTACTGACTAGTTCTTATTCTGTAGCTTTCCTTGTAATTACTAATAAACTATCAACTTCTATGGTAAGTTAAAAATGTAGTAAGTATACGCTAGATAACTGTATCTCAACGTTCTCCCTCCCCAGGGAGGGGAACGTTGTTCATTTTTTAATAATTATAAACAGTAATCCTAAAATGACTGACTCTTAAAATGAGTCATTAGTCATGTGCTGTAAAACCAGCAAAATCCTAAAACCCAGTTTATCAGATTATTCTGATAAACTGTAAAACTTGTAATAAACCTAAAATAATCAAATAAATCTAAGTACTTGTATTCTGACCACACCTCTACCCTACTTTTAAGTGTCCGGGCACCCAATGGTACTCTTACGGTCTACGAGACGCGGCCGGTAGCGTTCTTTGTCTCGGACTGGCACCCTAGAGATTGCAGTGTTATCTCTGGCTTTGATAACTTACAAGAGAACCTGATAGCTATATCCTGGGACCAGTCTACTAGCCCACCAATTTTTCAGCTAGACCTTCCCCGGGTGACGTACCCCGTGAGATTCCTTATTCCCCAAGCACCCGAACAGCTAGCGAAGATTGATCTTCCACGACCCTACGGGCCCTAGAACGTTAAGTTGCCATACGAATATGATTTCCGGCTCCTGGAACGCTTGGCGAAGATCCTTTATAAAAACCCTGGTGAACTACAGGAACTCAAGGTCCTCTTCAACGCAGCACGACACGACCCTCGGCGCCCACGGTACATCAACGACGCCCACGGTACATCAACGACGCCCTGGTTAAATTGCGACTGAATGAGGGCGCACAACCAGTACGCCAGATATATCGGACCCGGGACCCGGGACCCGGTACTCAAAGCGGTCGAGACCGCTAAGATGGAGCAGAACTACAGTGATGGAAAAGCGGATGAAGGGGACAAGTCGAGCCAGTGGAATTGTCAAGAAGAACTATACGGTTACCCCGACCTTCCCTGACCACTACCGTACGACTATTAATTACGTCCCTATCGACCGTTGGTTGCATCGTTTCCCCTATCAGCTCCCTATCGAGGCAGACATGGCTGAACATTCGCGCAATGCTATAGTCCAGTCTGCAACCGACTTGGCGGCTTCATACTACAAACTCCTCCTACACCCGGAGTCTCGCGGCTATCTCACTTTCACAACGGCGGACGGTGGCTTCCAACAACCTCGATGCCTCATGGAGGGTGTCGAGAATGGCTATTACGCCATGCAGCACTACATGGATACAACATTTAGACTCATTGAAGTGTTTAAAGCTTACCTCGACGATGGCAACCTCGTTACAGTCTGTAAGACAGCACAGACGATCCTCGAGGCCTTGAACGACCACTGGAATGACATATTCTGGATCGTCAGGATCTGTATTGAGAAGGACATTTAATTGCAACCACCTAAGTGCCAATAGGCAGTACTAGTGGACTGTGCCATCCTATTCTTTGGCCGTGAGAACATACGCAACACATCCGCTATTATGTTCAAGCGTGCCCAAGCCCTTTTCGACAGACCAGCCTTCACTAACCGCCAAGAACTTGTTAGCCTCCTTGCAGTCATGTCATGGTAGGCTAATTACATACCAGGTTATGCGGCACAGGCGGCGGTCTTATCTGATCTAACCCGTAAAGGCGCCATACTTGAGTGGGAGACGGCCCACGAGGTAGCGCACACATATCTGCTTTCAACTATCGGTCTCCGTATTTGGCTCTACCATTCACTACCTCATCAGCACCTGGTAGCTACACCTGACGCCAGCAACAGAGGCATAGGGGCCGGAGAGCTTCTCCCACAAGCCCTTCATTGTACATCGGACAGATAAAGGCTACTGTGGATCGACCTATGCTGCCACCGCGCCAGACTGTCGCTTCAGCACATGTTGCTGAACCCCAGTTGAATAGCGAGCAGGCATTGGCTCAGGACATTGCCCCTCGATACCCCTATAACCGTGACCTCACAAAGCCCTCACGCGACCGAATCCGGCCAGAGGCGGTCCTGTCGTACATGACGTCCCTTCCAGCACAACCACGGGACCTTGGGAATACCATCGGTACCTTCAAGTATCTATACCCTGCCGTCTTCTTGTCCGCCAAGCTGAACGACGCACCGGAGAACTACGATGCCGCATAATTGTCCACAAGGTAGCAGGCTTAGCACACCGTTACTATCGCCCTATGATCCTGCTTTCCGCTCATAAGCCGTTCATCACAATCATGCGGGACCCTGGCCCGTACTTCCACTCACGATCAGTTAAGCATAAGCGATGGCTTCGCAGTATCGAGGACATCAACGAAATCCCTATCGATATTGGTTATATCGAGGGCCGCCTTACAGTCTTCGGCGGCTACCTGTTGCGATGTCTCGACGAGACGGACAAACTCCGATAATTTGTACAACAGAGTGTTAGGTTTGAACTACTCTCCAACGCTGCCATCCAAGATGACAGTCGGGTTTGCTAAAGTTGAGCACGGCTCGGTCCAATGGCATACACCTACCGACCCCCTAGACGAGGCTCTCCTCGATGTAAAAGTCGGTCTCCTCTAGGCTGACTATACGATACCAAGACGTTTACGTTAAAACGTTAAAAGGCAAAATGTTAAAAATAAGTTTAGCTTCAGCCCTTGGTAGTGAGCAAAAGATTAGGGGATTTTAGACTGAGACTATTTTCTATATGCTCCGCTCTAATCACTCACTACTTCGGTCTAGATTTATTTATGTTTTAGCTACTAAGATTAGATATCATTTCATTGGACGTATATTTTACATTTCACGCCTCGAAACAATTATCTACTCAAACTAACCAATAAAATATATCTAAGTCCAACTTAAGAAATAAAAAAATCAAATCAAAACACCAAGTCGGAGCAGTATACATCTGTACCTAAACCCCATCACTTGGTACCTAGCTCCCCATCCAATTTAAGGCATAGCCGGGTACATCTAGTTGGCTGGCTAGGAGGAATCAAAACCATATTATCCTAAATTCGAACAACTCTGATCCTGTCCTTTTCTCAGTGGATTATTTTGCTCTGAGATCATTATCGAATTATACCATAGGTTTGTACCAACAACCATTTCATGCCTGAGACCCTCTCGCATGGTACGATTCCCAAAGTGTCATTTTCAGGTGTCAGATTTGTATCATTCCTATTTTTTGTACGATTCTAATTTCAGTGGAAAAAAATCAATCTATATTTGGAAAACCACCTAATTGTCCACAGTAGAGTCCCATACTCTACTGAGTACTATCACATGTTCAGAATCGTGAATATCTCAATTCTTGTTCATGTACACGTATATCCAGTATTATAAGTATAACCGTTAACGCGTTAATACGTTTATAATATACGTTTACTGTGCAACTACTATTAGGAACCCGCTATTTTTACATCGACCACAACAGCTGGGCGATTAATGGCCTTTTGGATCGATATCTCACAACAGTTGTGGGGCGCCTATGACTTAGAAATATTCGCGAGCCATGATGACCATGTCCTCACCGTCTACTGTACAAAGGATGTTGCAGGTGGTCCAGATCCAACACCGCCACAAACTTCCCGTAGACTGACATTGACAGCTTCTTGCGTCAGCGGGTCCTGGGTGTCCCGTTTACTTCGGTTGTGGCGTGTGTTCCTCTCTGGCCATCTGCAGCCTGATTTCCCGTCTACTTCCGGCTCATCCAAGGGACACCCTTGGTCATTCCACACAGGAATAACACTTACCTCCACTATGGCAAGCGTATTGTGGGCAGACCACCCTGGAAATACACTCTTGTTGCCCACCTATGCGGTGCGCAACTACTGTTCATAGTAGAGAGCTACTTCTGGAAGAGAGTCGGGCTTTCACGCCCTCAGGACTGCCTCATGTCCATTGAATATGTACCGCAGTCGTGCCTCATAGCCACGCCGGTCCGTCAACAGATTACACCTCTTACTACATGCACACTGACTGACCTGTCCCCACCTGTAGACAATCTCGAATCACTTACGACTACGCCCAACGCTCTCTCTACAGCACGGGTTGATTTCTTCGTCAATGCTCGTGGTTTGGCAACTACCCCAGCTCCGGAGCCAGCTACCTTTCCCACTTCGTGGATGCAGGCGGCCTCCCTTGACGACGACACCTTCCCCGGCACTTACCCCGCAGACGCTGATATGGCCGCAGGCAAGGTCACGGCTACACCAGCCACGGTGGACGCTCCGGCTTCCTCGGCTGACATTGATGCCGCTGCCAATCAAAAGCTGGACCATGCAGACATGTTGGAGTCTTTTACACCAGCAACACACACTGATGATAAAGCACAGGTCACCGACGATGACCCTGTACTTCCGCCCCCTACAGCTTCCGATGAATTGCTTAACGTTGACATCCGGGAGTATAATCAAAACCCAGCGTTCCAGCAGGATGTCTACTACATGGAGGAGACCATTCCAACCTTCCAGGAAGTACCCCTAGGGACGGGTGGCCAGGTCCGCCACCACCAGGAAGCACTCCTAGTGTTTATACTTCCCTATAGCTATTTTAGCCCAAGTGGGCTGGTTGCGGCACGGCAGGTCGTCCTTTTCTGGATGTGGTGGTGTATATTTAGATAGCCAATTAGATTTAAGTAATAATAAACAAATTTTTCTGACTCATCGTATGTCAATAGCCCATCTGAAACACATACAAAAGTACACTTTGCCAATACACATAAACATGATACTTTATACTATAGCTACGGTGTTAGTAGTAGTGTTAACTATGGGAAAGGCACTAAAAAAAGATCTGGTAGCGGCGAAGAGGTTTGTGGGGAATACTGCTTATGTTAATTGGGTTCATATGGACGAGCGGTATGCCCAGGCACGGTTTGGTAGTAAGTATGATAAGATCTGGATGCATGCGATCGTGATGCAGATAGATCGTGTTCCATCGATGACAGGTACGACTAACATATACAAGATAACTGTGAAGGTTGAAGGGTTTGTTAGTCCTGCTGGGGAGCGGTATTTGAGACTGAAAAGGTTCAGTCCGCAGCTATTGAAGCTGGTATCACCTGCCGATAATAATGATAGTGAACACGAACTAAGTGTGATATCTGGTGTACCACATGATTTCCTGATAAGAGAGCAGCAAAGAGCGGAGAGAGCGGCGACGGACCCAGCTATATATCCATCTTTGGTATAAGCACAACCAACAGACACTACCGTTGGTCAGTTGCCAACTCACACACACCACACAACTGGCAGTGAAGACAACAATACTGCGATCAGTGATGTACAACGAACACAATTAGCAATAGACCCACAAGATACACAACCTACATCAGATGAATTGCCATTATTGCATGACTTGCTTACTCCAGGACGTAATGATACGCAATGATCAATCAAAAATAGATACTAGTAACCCACCAGTAACATACAAGTAAGTAACATAGGTACTGTGGTACCAACGCTATTAAATATGGCACAAGCACTTACACAGCCGGCAACACTTATCGATAACAGAGAACCGGTCACAGTGCATGGACAGACGTGGCACTGGGGGAGCGTTGATGTTGATGAGACAGGTCCTGATATTCATAAGTGGAAAGTTATGGCCAACCATGAAGTCTTCAGACCACAGGATGGTATCGCACGATATGCCTTGCAATACTTCTACGCTATATTCCCTATGGGTTTCGGATAACCATGTGTGCATTAACCAACCCCATACTGACGAAGTGCAAGGGCGATACTAACAGCAACTCACTTACACCTGGAGAGCTACTTGTGTTCTTTAGTGTGTACATGCAATTTTGTTTCATCGACTTTGGAAATCGAGGTGACTGTTGGCGGAAAACTCAGTGTGAGTATGAATCACACGCACCACATAACTTTGGTCGTTGGATGACTAAACACCGTTTCAACAATATACACGCATGTCTGCAATATACAGAGAAGACGACAGGCGAGGAAGATCCCAACACACAAACACACCGATGGTCTCCCGTAAAGGGGTTTGTCGATGCGATAAATGAACATAGAGATCATACTATCGACTCAAGTATGCACATTTGTATCGATGAAGGTATTTCTCGTTGATATGGTTTTGGGGGATCGTGGTTGAATTATGGGTTGCCACACTATGTGGCTATGGATAGAAAGCCTGAGAATGAATGTGAGATTTAGACAGCATGTTGTGGTCGCGGTCAATTCCTTCTAAATTTAGAGATAGTGCAATGGTTAGATGCGGACGAGCGGCCATTTGAAGCCACCCACCAGACGGGTACTGCTATTACGCTTCGTTTGGTGGAGAAATACTTCCACACAGGAAAAGCCGTATATGGCGATAGTTAGTTCGCAAGTTTTAGAACCACCAAAGCATTACGAGAAAGGGGTATGTATTTCACCGGAATAATCAAAGCAGCAGCCAAAATGTTTCCCTTCGCACTTCTTGGAACGGAGGAACTTGTAGGCGAAGGCCATTGGAAAAGTATGTTGACAGAAGATGAATTGGGAAACAAGTACACTGCCACTGTTTGGGCTGATAGGAAAGTATTTTATAAATACTCATGGAACTACACATCAAGGGACGACAATCACACGGAAACACATGCGAATTAAGAGAACTTCCGTGTCGATGAAGAAAATACAGTGTAAGCAGCTTCAGCTTGTAGATCAATACTTCACGGTTGATCGACATAACAGGTATAGATATAATACTCTCAATTTAGAGAAGAAGATAGGAGTGCGTTCATAGGAAAAGAGGGTGGATGCTTCACTATTAGCTATATGTATCATTTACTCCTACTACGTACAGAATCAGACAAGACATGTGATCAGTGAGTTTTGTTACAAATGCTGTCGAAAGACTTGATTGAGAACCAGATGATCAACGAGCAAACCGATTTTTGACATCAGCGGCTGTACGTAGGCCCGAATCTACTTCATCTGATGTAGGCGCACACACAACACCAATCAAAGATCTGATTAGAGAGAAAAAGAAAAATAAGGAGGGTAGTACCGTTGAAGATTTGAGAGTCAAACGCAAGTACTGCAAATACTTTAAATGCACCAAGAAGAACATGTAGCATCTAAGGACCAGATTATTAAAAAGCCAATCTAAATCCCAAACCCCGGGATCATCAAATATTAAGTTTTGGAATTAGGATTGGAATATTTCTGATATTCGAGTCATCAGAAATATTAACGGTAGAACCGGTAAGCTACGCCGGGACTCCGCGTGTGACTTAGGTAAGTCCTGAGTCTGGTGAAAACACAAATAAAGACTCAGTCCGGTTCTCTCAGACTAAGGACTTTTCCTAGCTGAGATAACCGTGCTTGGAAGAGGTCTATCGTATCCTTTGACTCGTACCTTTCAGCCACTCTTCATACTCTACAAACAGTGGAAGTGGATGTGAGTGTAGTAGATGTGGGGCTGGCGTATACAATGGCTGCTTCCTCCCGCACCTACGAGAAGCACATCCAGCCGAAAAAAATATTTCACTTTTTTTAAGAAATAATCTGATAGAAATATTGGCAACACAACAAATCGTCCATATGGGCTGAAAACACCCGCCCAATTGGGCGATTTCCAGGGGAGTATAGACACTAGAACAACAGGTTCCCGACACAGCCTCCACCATAGACATGGTGACCGACCTCGTGGACTTTGTGCCCAAAACTTGGCAGTCCCCACCGGACCCACCTTCCCCGGTGTCCTATACGGTTTCCCACGCACCTAATACGGATGCACCATTGCACAACCGACGCTCTACCACGCACAAGTCCACATCCCAACCACTGGTCACGGAGACCTATGTCCTCGAACAGCTCGATCGGTTGCAACCTACATGCATGGAGCAACCGGTCGGTCAGGAGAAGATTTTCCAGATCATTTGGGTCTGACACGATGGCTACAGCCATCTCCTCGCCGACCGCCTGCAGGCCCTTGGTATCCAGAAGTGCGGATGGTCGATACCCGTCCCCCTCTTATAGATTTGGATTTGTCTGGGCTTGCCGACCGGATTCACACGCGGCCTGCTCCAGCAACGATGTTTTGCTGAAGTGAACCTTGACTTTGTGTATATCTAAACTGATGCAGAGGGCAACTACTATGTCTTAATCGCCCAGAACGGCTGTACTTTACGAGCGTTCGGCACCCCCCCCCCCCCTCTTTCGTTCTGGCGACATGCTCGCCTCTGAACTTATCCACTTTTGTAATACACATCTGGTTCCAAGCGGGCATGTTCAGACCTACGTGATTGACAAGGGCAGTGTCCTTATCAGCGAAGAGTTTGCAGCTTAAGCCGCCAGTACCAACAGTAAAATACACCTGGTCCCCACGGGTGAACATGGTGGTAACGGGCGTATTGAACGCTTAGTGCGACGGACCACCCGTAACAGCTTGCAACGGTCCCTTGCCCCTGGTGATCAGCACCGATGGCGACAAGAACTACCCCATTTCCTGGCGAACTACAAAGCTATCTATTCTGCCGCGATCCAGAGCTGTGCGTATACCTTGGAAACGGGTCGCATCTACCCCCACCCGATCGATGCGATCATCGAAGGGATTTAGATTCGGTCCTCGGATGTCCCGAGCCAACCATTTCCCTACAGGCTGAATTGCTTCCCCGGGATGTCCAGGCCGCCCGGGCTGTCGCTAAAGTACGGGAGGCGCAGAATGAGTATGCCGATCGACACCGCGTGGACGCACCCATGATCGAAATTGGGCGCGAAGTTATATATACCACCATGCAGGCTCCTAATCACAAACACACAAAAGACTGGTTAGGCCCTGTCACTGTCCTCGCACATACAGCCCCGGTTATGCACTATATTTTTGACAAGGCCATGAACAAGGAATGCCGTGTGCATATCGAAAATATCGAGGCTCACCTGCCTCCGATTGGACGGCCTGAGCTTCGTCCGGTGAGAGCAATAGCGGCCTCCGCCATTGGGAGCTGGCTCTTCTTCAGTTCCCCTTTGGCTGATGAAGGTGACGACGAACATCTCGACGAACGGGTCGCCATGTTCCGGACCAGTGCCCCTGCCATGCGTTTTCTGTACGGCTGTTCCACAGCGTTTAATAAATGGATCACGCTGCTGAAGACCACTGGCCGCCCCAGGGGCGATGATTTCACAGCTGATGACGAGGACCATTTCTCGTCCCACGCCGACAAGGTCACCAACCCCGCGACTACGCTGTCTACACTCCGTAAAGCAAACACCTTCGCCCATAGTCGGGCGGAACGCGATAGTAAGATTGCCTCCTGGCAAGATAAGCAACTGGCGCTCAAGCTTACCACCACAGCTGGCTAGTCTTCGCCTTAAGTACACAGAGAACCCTTCCTTTTTTCGTGTACTTCCATGGTCGCCGGTTTATTCTACCCTTCTTTTATTTCTTTATTTATTTCCCCGATTGTAATAACGCCAATATGTGACATTACAATTTAATTTGCGATATTACCGCTCCTTCCTTCTTATGAGCCGCGTCCCCTCCGAGCCCGCGTCTGTGTGTGTGTGGGTGGGGGGGTGTAGTAGGAGACGGTATACTGGTCGGACCTACTCCAGGATAAGTCCGGTCCTATGACAAGGACAGCTGGACGGTCCTATTTCCTGAGCCCAGGGCAAAGGACTCACATGTCAACTATAGCTAGAGTAACCGAGGCCCTGAGACCCGGTTAAGAACACAGCCTAAACTAGGGTGGGAGTCTGGTATTTTGTACACTGGTTCTAGCAAGGCTGAAACATCTAGCTTAGTTTCACGATAGTAACCAACGTGTACACTTTACTACACTTAGATTTTTGCACACACACATGCTCTTTTAAAATTTATATAGACATACGTATACACATATCAGCTCATTTGCGCGGCTAGTACCACACTCAATGTTGACTTACAGCACCTGTAATATAAAGTGGTCGTATGTACAGTGTCCTACTGTAAGGATAAAACAGCGGATAAGAAGCAAAAGCCGGTGCCCATAAATGACCCCGAGAAGCAGAAGCTCTATCGATGAATGAAACTGCTCGGTCGTCTCGACAATGGCAACAAGAGCTCTGAATTTCCTAGAAAAAAATACAATTAGAAGTATGTAAAATTGATTTCCAGTAAAAGTGGATTGTTTCACGAGGGAATAGGCAAATATAGACAATGTTTTGCACACTTAACTAACATCAGGCATCAGAAGGTACGAAATGCAGAGAACATACAATAAATAAGATGATAGTATAAGATAGTATACAAGCCGATGAACATCCCTTAAAACACAGTAAATGTGTGAGTAGGGCCTATGATACTTCCGATCCAAGCCGACAAGTACATATCGAGTGCATATGTGGTCTGGTGCGGCATCTGTTCACCCCCAACCTCGCACTTCAACCGAATTATGACGGATAGCCTGGTCCTACTCGGCATTTCGTACTCTGCACTAACTCATTCCGCGGCACTACACGGTGCAGATCTAATCCGTACCACAAAGGTGGGTACGCTACTTAGTAGGTCAGCGTGGCACACTCGATGGTGTCAGTATTTTAGTCAACACCGGCCTGAATTGGCCCAGCGCATTTCCTCCATCGTCGACTCACGTGGCCCAAGCTTCAAACGGGAATTTACTGACCACTTCCTCCCATCGATCTTCCCCCCAACCACTACAACGGTTACGAGAGCCATACCATATGTACATACATTGTAACTTACCTCCTTTGAAACAAATAATATTATCCCTAAAATACCGTGTCAGAAGCTACCGTTGTACGTCTTGCAACGATGATTATTGAACTCAAGCATGAGCGAGATTCTGCTCTCGCAGTTCACGACAATGCTATCTCGCGTATGTATACTGGACTCAAAATGCAGAGTAGGATCGTTACAGTGCGATCTCGAGTCAGTTAATAGAAAAATAGGTGGCAATACCGACAAACGTACCAAGCTGCCCGGAATCAGACGGTTGCATCAAAATGCAAACTACGATCGGCAATATAGAGAGACAGAGTATCATTAAACTCTCATATGAGTACACAACAAGTATTGATAGTATAGTCAAAATGTAGACAGGCTTATATACTTCCGCCAGGTATGTAGCTTTCGTATATTTCTCACGAGAGAGAAGAGTGAATACAACCCCAGTAGATTGACGATACAGGATTTTTGAGGATGATGTGAGTCCGATTTGTATGGATGTTCGATGTGGGATGCTTTCAAACAGTATTCAATATAACTCATATTGTGAATCGTGCCGTGCCTGCATGTCGCGATTCAAGTAAAATTAGCATATTTGATGCAATTACCGTGCTCCAGTTTTATTGAAGAATATAGTTAAATTAATCTAGTGGTCGACTGTACGGAATATATAGGCATCAAGTAGACACGCAACGAGCAACATGGTCAGTATAATACAGGCACCACCATAATCGAAAATACTAGTTTCAATTTCCGGTACTGAACAAGTGTGATTTGCTTCATTGGTGTACGCAGGACGCATTAGTGATAGTATAATATTGGAACTGTGTAAAGACAGCCTATTTGCCAAATTGTGGGATGTAGAGGATTGTCAGTGATGGACAATAAGAGATAACAAATAGGTATCTTTAAGTCGAGAGTCAGTTGGGACTTTTCAGTCCTATAGTTGGCTTGTGCAAAGGTGTTATTTAAGTATGATCCAGTTCAGATATTTCATCACCTGTAGATATTATATTTGTCATTTACCTTCGCTCACGCAGCTTGTTGCTTCATTCCCCACGCCAATGCGGACAGGTGATCTTATAGTATTTGTCACGACTGATATTCTTACCGCATTCGCTGACGAAATCAAAGCATATGTATGTATCTTCGCCGCACACTAATTTTGTAACTACGAGCACTGCACTCTCACGACTATTATACATTTTGCATAAGTATACAAGCTGACTGTCAGCTTCATATGGAGCTATCCGGCGCTCTCAGCGCATGGTGTGGTCATACAGAATCTAATCGCTACCTTGGACATACACCATGCTCGTCGACTACAGTGCTTAACTAAATTCAATGAAGCTGTTGTTGGTATGCATTGGCTATCTGTGGCGTACCCCAGCTGCTTCAATTGTTGCCACTTCTTGAATGCTGCGTTACACTCATCAATTTGCCGACCATGTTCTGTATATTCTGATGGTGAAACTCGGACATCAAATACAAAGACTGGTGTACAGCCAAAGTCCTGAGTACAAAACTATAGACAGTAAACATACTTACTATACTTACTATTACAAAGACTGGTGTACAGTCAAAGTCCTGGGTACGAAACTATAGGCAGTAAGCATACTTACTATTGTCGTTTCAGTCAATGTGCCTGTGATGCCTTCTGCATTATGCGTGCAGATTAAGTGCAATCTCTGCGGCTTTTCTGTACTCTCTGCAACATCGCATCAGTGCTGAATAGATCAGAAAAGATGATGCTTCAAAAGTACAATATTTGCTTTCGATTCTGGGCTGTATCTTCAAAATGTATAGTCCTTGAACACATATTTTAGTTATAGAAATCCCACCAACCATTTCTTCTGCCTTAGGCCTGTTACACGCATGATCTATCTTTATATAGTGGTTACATGAACGCCTTATATCGGTTCAGTGCTCAATTTACTATCTAAATATTTAAAAAAATATCGTGTACAGCCCAAAACGTGCGATAATCCAGAATTGTTCATTTTATATGTCTAATACACTTCCACAGTATTTTACAATATCAGTCAATATTTAGACATGGAATTATGGTCATTGCATGCATTGTTGTAAATATAAGTATACGTAGTACTTAAATACTGTATGTTGTCAAATGGACAGAAATACAATGAGTTAATCGAATGTCAATTCAATGGATATAACAACACTCCGCACTGCCAATGGCACAAAAGATGAGAGGAGATATTATATACTTTTTGTCTACCTGTCGTGTATTTTATTTTCTGCACGCTATTGGTGGATAATATCATCCCTATTGGTGGTGCGTAATACTTATTAGCGATCATTTTAATTAGTGTTACAAAAGGTTTACGACTTATCTGGTGTTGTATTGTGTGTCGCCTTCTGTTTCCTATCACAACATTTTATGCATTCGTACACATTTGTATTGAGTGTACACCTGTTGCTCTCTATAATTCGTGTACAAGCTACAGAGAGTGAGCATCAAAGGAAGGTTGAGTTGGTCAGAGATTAAAACTTTCGAAGAGAGATGTATAGTCTGTGAGCTACCTCGTACATTGTTGATTCAGATGCAAACCATGTTTGGCACAAGCTGCTCATTTTCTTGTGAAGTAGTCACGTGTAGCACTTACATAAATGATGTTGTTCATCGCACAAAAACAGAGAGTATCTTGGAAGATAGATTCTTCAGTATTGTTTGTTGTTTTGCGCATGTTCATCTGTTGGAGGATGCAACGATTATGTATATCAACTTTTCTCAAGTACAACTGTCATCTAAGAAGTAGCAATCACAAGTGTTCAGATATGCTGTGAGATTAAATACAAGTTGTTATTGTATACGGCCACTACTGCTTGAGCGAAATTTAATTTACTCATGCATTAGTGGCCGAAAGATCGCAGATTGGGCTAAGTTTCATTCTATTGCTTGAGTGAAATCTAATTTACTCATGCATTAGTGGCCGAAAGATCGCAGATTGGATTAAGTTTCAATCTAGAACAAAGTCGCTAAATGTACTTTGAAAATGTGGAAAAGTCACAAAATATACATTCACCCTTTTTCTCGATGAAAACGTACTGAAAAATTGATCAAATATGTACAAATGTACATTTAGCGACAATTCCAATATTTTTATGTACATATTTAGTGACTTTATCGTGCAAAACTTGCCTAAATTTAAATTAAAGAGCCTTCGGCTATATCCATTTTTTACGAATAAATGTGTTGAGGGGGGATATGTTGTCTTTTATTGATTGGTGTTGATATATGCTGCTTCATTCAAGTTTTATCTCACTGCCTGGTTCGCAACTCACATGGTCTGTGATGCTCTTTTACGGGAACATACGAGAATAGTATTTCGGAAATCCATTTTCTAATTCTGTTGTCATGTTGGATGCTTGTGACATAGTCGTGCGCAGACAACGCCTCCAAATCATGCACTGAGTTGTGTATTTTCTGATACTGTTCTAGCATAGGCACAAAGCAAACCCCCACAGCTAAAACTGTCGTGTTGGTTTATACCGCCTACTTTTAGGCTGTATTTAACATTATCTGTGAAATAACATTTCATCCATCGTACTATATAATTGAATTGTTCGTCAGCTCTAATAGGATTTGGCACACCATCTAAAATAGTAACTGTAG